GTGGCTCAGTGGTTTACTGCAGCCTTCAGCCCAGGGCCTGATCCTGGAGACCCAGGATCGAGTCCTACATCAGGCTCCCTAAAGGGAGCCTGCTTCTCCCTCTGCCTGTCTCTACCTCTCTCTCTCTCTCTTTCTGTGTGTGTGTGTGTGTGTGTGTGTCTCATGAATAAATAAATAAGATCTTTTAAAAAAAATGTACTCTTACTTGACCGAAGCCTTCTTTCTTACAGACCCGGCTAATTTCTTTGGGGCCTTCCTTGCTAACTGGTTTAGCCATGCCTCCCCCATGCAGATCAGTCTGAACAACAAATAAATGAAAACAAATGCTTCTGTTTGAACTCCCTTCCTGGGAAACAAACGTCATTTATAGTGTCACCAAATAGGCAACTGGTATAAACAAAACAGAATTTTGCTTAACCAAATCAATTTTGTCATCAATGCTGAGAAAGCTCACGCATGGGACACTCTTGCCTTAAGGACTTGCTAAAGCGATGTCTTTGAAAATTTCACATCATTTAGGAATTTTTCCTTAATTTCACGTCATGACATGTTCTCTATGAGATGAGAACTGGGGATAAGATTTTTAAAATGGGAACTAACAACCAAAAGAAAAAAAAAGCAGGCACAAACTATATTCTCTTTGTCTCCAAACAGACATGTGATGAAGCATGTCAGCAATGGAATAAGAACCTCACCTCCTGTATTTATTTAGATTCCTTGCACCTTGTTGGAAAGAAGTAAAAAAAGAGGCACCTGGGTGGCTCAGTCAGTTAAGCATCTGCCTTTGGTGCAGGTCATGATCCCGGGGTACGGGGATTGAGTCCTTCAGTCCAGCTCCCTGCTGTGCTGGCAGTCTGCCTGCCAGTCCCCCCGCTTGTGCTCTCTCTTGCTGTCAAATAAATATTATAAAATCTTAAAAAAAAAAGAAAGAAAAGAAAAAAAAAACTTCCCAGAAATTGATTCTATATGTGAATATTTACAAAGACCATTTTTTAATCCTGACAATAGGACTGTTACCAAGCCCAGCTATTGACACTACGTACTTTCTCTTTTAGGATAAGCTTCAGTGATCAAATGAGCTCCTGAAGCAAAATCCAGGGCAGAAGTACCTGAGAAAGCCATAGTTAACAGAGAAATTCTAATCCAAACCTCCAATGATTTTATATTAAGATAAAAATAATGGGGATAGAAATTCAGGTCTATACTATGAGATGCCATAGTATACCCATTCGATTGGTAAAATCAATGCTGACCATCCCAAGTGTTGCAAAGGATGCAGATTAGCAAAATCTATTAGCTGTCGGTGGGAGTATAAACTGGTACAACCCTTTGGAAAATAGTTTGGCATTATGTAAGGTGATCAGTCACATGCCTAGAGCCCAGCGATTTCACCCAAGAGAAGCTCCTGCATGTGTACAAGAAGTGTCATGGTCACTCATCAAGAGGAGAATGCAAAAATAAAAAGAGGTACACTCACATTCCGGACTGCTATAAAGCAATCAGAATCAGTCCCCCCAAATCATATATTGTACAATACTCTTTTCTATAAAGTTAAAAATGGTTGAAATGAAAAATATGGGGCTTTTAAAACTGCATATAGATGAGATAAAACTGAATAAAAAGAAAGAAGAGGATAGTAACCCAAATTTGGGATGGTGGTTACCCTTGAGCAGGGCAGGCTGGAGGATGGGCTAGGAGAGGGAGCACAAAAAATATGTGCCCACATTTTCTCTGATGATATTGCTCTGAATACCAGGCCTCACTTAGTTTTAAAATAATAATAAAAAGAGATACCTGGGTGGCTCAGTGGTTGAGTGTCTGCCTTTGACTCAGAGAGTGATCCCGGGGTCTGGGATGGAGTCCCACATCAGGCTCCTAGCAGGGAACCTGCTTCTCCCTTTCCTATGTCTCTGCCTCTCTCTGTGAGTCTCTCATGAATAAATAAATAAAATATTTAAATCATAATAAAATTAGAGTGGTCTTTCCAAAAGGGAAGCTTGCAAGAGAAACAGCTCTGATTCCTTCTCCACCAGGCGCATCACCCCAATAGGTTAAATCTGGCTCTACATGGCCCCTATGGGAGAAAGATCATGAATAAAAATTCTCTCACTCTGTCTTCAGCTCACAAGCACTTGAGTCATGCCTCTCTTCTAGCCACACACACTAGGAGAATCAGTGGGAGCTGGGTTCCAAGGAGGGTATATGTACAGCACTGGGCACAGACAGAGCCCGGATAACCCACCCTGCTGCTGTCAGAACTATGAGCGACAGGCCTGGAGGGTGCTCTGTCCTTGACCCCAGTAGGCAGGATGACCATTTAGATCAGAGGCAGGGACAGGAGAGCTGTGTCAAACATGTGAAGTGCTGAGAAGCACAAGGAGGGGCAGACCAAAGGCTTTTCCAGGAGGCAGAACAGGAGTGCAAGGAAGAAGTGGCCATTTGGGCTCTACGTCAGAAGGGCCTTTTCTGCACTTGGAGACTTACCTACCTCCACTGGCATGTGGGTGCCACCCACAAGTGAGGCACCTCTGGGTGAGCCACTGAAGTTTGTTCGTTTGGTCTCAGTTTCCTTTCCTCTAAAACGGGAATGAGGCCGTATTCATGGAAAGACTCACATGGGACTAAATGACAGCACAGGGCTGTACTAATGTCAGGAATCATTCATCCCACCCAGACAAGTCAAGCAACAAATTTTGTCCACTTTGGAGTCTAGAAATGACCAAAAACAAAACTACAGAGATGAACTGTGCAAGCATACCCACAAGAAACTTGTTCCCACTTCGTCCTTCCCATAAATTAGTATCTGTCCCTACAACCTTTATCAGCAAGCAGTAAAAATTTTTTTGGTTGGCCAGAGGCTCTGCACATTTGAGACAACCTAGAAATGCCAACTGTCTACACCCAGTTATTTTAAAGAAAAGAAAATGGGGCATCTTTGATCTTTTGAGTAGAATAAAACAAAACTGCATGAGATCAGGTTTTATTTCTACTAGAACTGTGGGACCCTATACTCATAAACATTACCTTGGCCTCTCCAGGTTAGTAAGTAGTAAATACCTGGTAAATACGGATAACCCAACAACACTAACTCAGGCATAAGTGGGCATTAGGACACACATCTGGGACAGGCACAGACCATGGAGTACAATAGGCCCAGGTCAGAATCTCTCTCTGTGGCCTATGGGGCCAGTGACTTCTGACAAACTACATCCTCCTGTCTAACCTCAGAACACCTCATTGGTCCAAGAGGACAATCCTGGAACTCATGTCACAGTGTGGCTGTGAGGATGAAATGAATGTAACATAAAACAGAGTGTGTGGTTCATAGCCAACAGTGACATATTTCATAGCAAACCACCGATGACCCCTATCACTGCATGTCCTGGTTTACACACCTGACAGAGAAGGATAAGCGGAATAAAAACACTGTTTGGAAAAGAATCATTTCTTGTTTGGTCGCCTGACTCTTAAGAATGCCGTGTTCTGTGGGATCTGGAGGGTGCAGCTGAGTGGGGTGAGGGGCACCAGGATATCACCTGAGAAAGGCACTTGAGAAATACTTGTCAATTTTCTTCCCTGCCAGGAATTGACAGTGATCCCCATTTTGTAGTGGAAACCATCACCTGAATTCAGCAGAGCTGCCAAATTCTCAGGGGCATCATAGACTCGACAATTTTCCAGATGCTGTGTTCCAAAAACGCTAGGAAGGATCATATAAACTATATAGTGAGTGACCCGAAGGGATACTGCCTGGCTGAGTGAAGTGACCAAGGTGACCTGAGTTTTACCAAACATCAAGGCAGGGCCCTCCTGTTTACCATGACAACGGAGCACTGCTTCTCAGACTGTGGTCTGGAGCAGCAGCATCTGGGAACTTGGGGAGAAATGCCAAAGCTCAGGTCCTCCTAGGCCCTCTGCGTCAGAAACTCAGCAGAGAGGCAAGTATTTTGTGTTTCAACAAGCCCATCAGGGAATTGTAATACCAGCTCAGGTATGAGAACCAGTGGTATAGAGTGACCAGAGATCTCAAAGTTGAAACCAACCATCCCCAGGAAACATACCAAGGCAACATTCAGTAAGAAAGGAAAGAAGTCTGGGGTGCCTGGGTGGCTTGGTCAGTTAAACGTTTTGCCTTTGGCTCAGGTTATGATCCTGGGGTCCTGGGATCGAGCTCCACATTGAACCCCACATGGAGCTCCCTACTCAGTGGGGAGTCTGCACCTCCCTCTCCCTTTCTCTCCCTCTGTGCTCTCCCTCTCAAATAAATAAATCTTTTTTAAAAAACAAAGAGGGGGAGAGAAGACTTCAGTACCTTTCTCCCTTTCATGGGGCAGACAATGTTAGCTATCTTACCACTGGACTTCAATTTTGAATCTGCTGCTTCTACAATAAACAAAGTGACAGCGGGAAGCTTCTGGTTCTCTACAGAATGCTAAGATGGGCCCTTAAAAAACAGGCGCTGTATCTGATACATCTGTGAGTCTGCTGTGCCCATCCCAAGGCCTGGCAACCACGGGTGTAAGGAAAAGTGGGAAATAAACTAAGTGACCAACTTGGGGGAGAGGAGAACAAGCACTCCTTCCCACAGTGGGTCCCAAAGACTGGACAAGGTGATTGTCCCCCTAAATCCCTAACACAATGATCTTAGCTCCTGAAGCAGAATCAAAGACTTAGGGGAACTGACACTGGTTGGCTGCCCAAGACTCCACTGCTACGAAGAGCAGAGCGGCCCTGAGGCCCCAGGTCACGCTCTCACTCCACCTCCCGACTCACTCCTTTAGCCCAAGCTTGTCAGAGGTCCTGTCCACAGGGGGTTCCCCTGTCCCAGTTCAAGGCCCCCACCCTGGGAGGTTGGTCAGAGATATTATTTCTCCTGCTGGTCCATGTCCCAAACACCCGTAGGCTAGTGGCGGTGTCCTCCAGCCGCAGACACGCTGTCACCATCACTGCAGCATCACCAGCCTCCCAACCTCAGATGCCCCGGTTTGGCATGTCCGTACCTGTAGTAAGACAGCAGGCCATTGCTGAGCACAAACCAACGGCGCTGGTAGCCTTTCAGGTAGTTGGTCCATTTGAGCAGCCAGCCCTTGAAGCTGTCCAGAGGCAGTAAGACCTTAGGCGCAGTGGCGGTGGTGCCAGTCCCTGACATTGGAACCCCAAGGGACGCCTTCACCTGACTGGGTCGCAGAAGGGGCAGGGGCTTAGACGCCGGCAGCGCCCCTGGCTCGGGTTTGGCCCAGGGCGCGCTGCCCACCCCTGGCCCCAGTGCCGGCAGCTGCTCCGACGAGGCCTCGGAGTAGGGCCCAGCCCCTGCACTTGAGCCCAACTCTTGCCGGCCCCCTGACCCCCGCCCCAATCCCAGCAGCAGTTCGGCTCCCTGTCTGAACTCCGGCCTTGGCTCAGACGTCTTCTCGGACACAGGCTCCGACCTTGGCACCGGCTCGGGAACCGGCTCCGACACCTGTTCTGACACCGGCTGCCGCTCGGGCTTCGGCAGCGGCGGGGGCTGGGGCTTGGGCTGGGGCTTGGGCTCCGGCCCCGGGCCGGCCGTGGAAGCGCTCATGCTCGGCGCCGCCGTGTGGCAGGACAGGCAGGGGACAACCGTGAACAGCGACGAGAGTCCGCGGGAGCGGCCGCCACAGCCGCCGCCTCGGCACAGAGCGGCCGCTTTCCCCATAGAGCCCGCGGCGCGGAGCGCGGCCGAGTCGCGGGGAGGGGGCGGGGGCGGCGGCGGCGGCGGCGGCGGCGGCGGCGGCGGCGGGGGGCGGCGGCCGGGGGCGGGGCCGGGGGCGCCGTTACGGGCGCGCGCAGCTCCCCTGGCGCGCAGCTCCCCTCGCGGCCCCGGGCGCCCCGAGCCGCCAGCGCCCGCCGGCTGCTGTCCTCCCCGCTTGGGGCCGCGTCCCCCCGCTCGCGTCGCCAGCGCCCGGCTCAGGGCTGGCCCTGGAAGGCGCCCTGGAAACACCTGTGGCGCCGGAGCTTCGCGGGCGGGCGACGCGGAGGGGACGCCGAGCTTCAGGCCACCCTCGCTGCCTGCGCCCCAACCCGTGCCAGGCGCCGGGGGAACAATGATGAATGCGGAGCCCGCCGCCTCCCGGCGCAGCTCTGCCTGCCGAGCCCCGCGCTGGCGCCCCCCCGCCCCCCGCCGGCCGGGGTAGGCTCGCTCCCCCGAAACCCAGGAGAGTGGGGTGTGGGGGAGCCCTCAGCCGCGCTCAGAAACCACGAGACGCGCCCGAAGCCTGGGGCCCAACCGGATGACGCTAAGAGCTGAAGAGGACGCCCCCTGCCCCCACGGGACTCATTACCTGTCTATGGGTCCTTACCCCATCGATGCTGCGCTAGGATCGAAGCCGCCTCCTGACAAGCTGGCCTCTATCTAGTTCATGCGCCGGCACATTTTGCTGCAAGTGGCGACATAGTTTAGGCTCTAAGTGAATATAGAAAGAGTTTTTGTAAACTGAGCGTTTTAAATATAACAAGGAACATCTAAAAGCAGACTTCCTGGACCTCCTGGATATACCTGGGGGATCCTGGCTGGCAGTCCATGAAGCTTCTGCATCTGCAGAATTTTATGTCTCTGTGCGTTTTTCTAGGGAGGAGGTCCCTGGTTTTCATGAGATTCCCGAAGGAGTCTGTTATCCCAAAAAGGTTAAATATTTTAAAGACTCTCCTAAAGGGAAAAGTCGATGGTTACCACAAATAATGGGAAATACAAGTGGAAATGTTGGCTTTGGGCCTCCCACCCAGACCCTTCCATCTCTAGACCTCTGCCCAGGCTCCTCTCTGTTCATCCTAACCTGTCTTATCCTCCCTTTGCCCACTGTTCTTTCCTGATCTTTGCTTGTGACAAGACTGCCTGTGCAGGGACCAGCCTGTGATACAGTGATAGCTGGGACGAGCAGACTGGAAAGTCCTAGAAACAAGTAATGCAGGCGCTTCCCAAACAGAACTTCCTTGCCATCTTTGCTGGTGACTGGGATCCCTTCCTGGGGCACCTGCCAGTGAATGGTGGTCTTACCTGCAGTTTTGTGTGAGCTCAGGAGTGCAGAGACCTCCCTATCTTGGTATATCACGTAAAAACAAAGATGGTCCTCAAACTTCAGTTTGAGTCAAGAAAAAGTGGTTACCTCTGTGACCTGGGCAACAGTGGGATGGAGTTGGGGTGTTTGCCTTTCACTTATACCCTTTGAACCTTTTGAATGTTTTCACTGTGTGTTTCACTTATTGAGAAAATAATAATTTTTTCAGCTCATCCCAAGGAAGCTTACTAGAAATTCAGTTTTTTCATCCCCATCTTCCTGGAATTCTGAGTCAGTAGGTCTGGGGTGGAATCTAGGAGCATGCATTTTAATGAGCTCCCCAGGGGCTTCTGATGTGGATGGATCATTGACCACACTTTGATGGACAATGATGTGAAGGGAAAATCTTAGGTTTTGGGCATCCAATCCATTATGGAAATCCCAGCCCAGCCACTCCCTAGCTATGGGACCTTCAGCCACCTCACTGAGCTTCTTCTTGCTCATCTGTGAAAGGAGAATAATCCCTACCTCACTGGTTGAGAGTAATAAAATCATGTATATAAAGCACATTTGGCATAGTAGGTGCTCAGTAAGTATTCTCTAGGTATTTAGCTCTGTGAAATGTCTGGTGAAATGAATTAACCAGAGGCCAGAGCAGAAACAGATGAGACCAAGGTTAATAGGCTTGGAACACAGCCACAACAATGGGAAAAGCTCAGTGCCTGCTATGTATGTGCCAGATGTGTTTGCAGCCCCAAGGAAGGAAGCCAACTATTAAAAGTTTAATGATATGTTTTGACTGCTGCAATAAATGGATGATAGGATCTAAGTCAGCTGCCAGACTGAGTGAAGAAGGTATCACAGAAAGCACAAGGTTTGCACTGAGTCCGAAGGGCCGGCAGTGGAGGGCCATTCAGGGCAAAGGAATCAGCATTCATAAAGCCCCAGATCAGAAGAAAACATTTTGTCTGAGAAATAACAAAGAGTTCAGCATATTTGAAAGAGCAGGGCAGGAGATGAGACAGGGAGCTAGGTAGATACCACACAATCAGGAATACCCTGTATCCTACAGAAAGTGGGCCTCCTGGACACTGGGATCTCCTGGGAAGTTTTTTAAATTTAAAAATGCCAGATTCCACCTGCTGGAGAAATGGCTGTCTGCAAGTCTGGAGCAGAAAATGTGTAAGATGAGCCTGCCTGAGACATCTTGTCACACCAGAAAGTAAAGAGGCTATTAAGGACTCTGAAGCCAACTATAAAGGGGCTCCCACAGGCCAAAGACAGGACAACTTGAGCATCCAAAAGAATAATGATTAGGGCACCTGGGTGGCTCAGTGGTTGAACACCACTGCCTTCAGCTCAGGTCGTTATCTCAGGGATCAAGTCCCCCATCAGGCTCCCCATGGGGAGCCTGCTTCTCCTCTATGTCTCTTCCTTTCTGTGTGTCTCTCATGAATAAAATAAAATCTTAAAAAAATAATAATGATTACAATGGGTCAAAACATCAACTATGTGAAGATCCGTAGGTTGGGCCCACAAATACCTAAAGTTACATAAAGAAAAAAAAAAACTTCATAAGTTACCTTCATTAGTTTACCAGCACCAATTCATTATTCTGAAAACTGATAATAAAGGGAGAGAATTAAGTTTGTATCCTTCCTGTCTTATACAAACTCTATATAGTAACCTAAGAGTTTATGAGGGAAACATCTTTATAGACAAATTACCTAATGAATGCAGAAGGAACAATAAGATTAAAAGAAGATGTCATCTTTTGGCAACCCCAAATGAAATAATGGATCCAGTCCTTAATAGATGGGGAACTTCATAAGGGATGAATCAGAGTGATGTCAGCTGAATCTACAGATCGATCTTGCATCACCAAAAGTGCAATGACAGGATATTATGTGCCTCTGAATGACCCAGTAGGAAACACATAGCACCACCTATGAAGTATTTTTACTTATCCCCTCCTCTCACCTCCAAAAAAACCCCTTAACTTGAATCTAAACTAGCTTCTAGCTTTATCAGTATAAAAGAAATGCAAGGGACAGAGAAACATGCTGAATGACTCAAGGAGTCAATCAGTCAAATTAATAAAATAGGAAAATCGATATTCAAGTAATCTATCATATTAAATAAATACATGGCTTAGGGGAAAATGGGAAAAAGAAAATGTTATCAACTTTTCTGGTTGACATATCAACCAGATGCAGTATGTGAACCTTGTTTGGATCCTGATTCAAACCAACTGCAAAACATATATTTCAGGGAAAATTGAGTAATATTGAACAAAGAGTGGGTTTTAAGGAATACTAAGAAACTGTTAATTTTGTTATATGTGTTATAATGGTATTGTAATATTTTTTGGTATTGTAATTTTTAGAGGATTTATCCCTAGAGATATATTCTGATGTACTTCCAGGTGAAATTATATGATATTTGGATTTACTTTCAAATAATACAGCTTTTTATAAAATGAGGTGGGTGGGGAGCAGATGAAAAACAAATGACGGGCAGCCCAGGTGGCTTAGTGGTTTAGCGTCGCCTTCGGCCCAGGGCATGATCCTGGAGACCCGGAATCAAGTCCCACATCGGGCTCCCTGCATGGAGCCTGCTTCTCCCTCTGCCTGTCTCTCTCTCTCTCTTTCTCTCTCTCTCTCTGTCTCTCATGAATAAACAATAAAATCTTTAAAAAATAAAAACAAATTGCCAGGGATTGACAGTGTTGAAGCCAGGTGATAGGTATACATGAATACATTATATTGTTTTCTCAGCTGTCATGAGACAGCTGAAAATTGTCTATTGACAGCTGAAAATTGAAAATTACCACGAAACACTTTTGTTCTACAAATGTTGGGCCTTTTACAAACCTCACCTCCTACCTTTTCAATGACCCCGTAAGTTCCCCCATGTTTACATAAGAGGAAATTGAGGTTCATGGGGCTAAAGGTCTGCCTGGAGTCACACTATGGATAAATGGGGAGACAAGATTCAAACAGAAGGTTATTGGGCATCTGGATTGCTCAGTGGTTGGGCGCCTGCCTTTGGGTCAGGTCGTGATCCGGGGGTCCAGGAATGAGTCCCATAGGGAGCCTGCTTCTCCCTCAGCCTATGTCTCTGCCTCTGTGTGTCTCTCATGAATAAATAAATAAATCTTCAACAACAACAAAAACAAAACAAAAGGTTCTCTAGCCCTAAAGCCAGTCCACCTGTGTCATAAGAGAATAGACACCAGACACCAGCCCCCAGAGACCTGCCTTCCACCCCCAAAAGAAGCCTTGCCAGGTTGCCGCTGCAGACCTTAGGAACAGGAAAAGCTAAAGAGTGACAACCAGTGATGGCCCTTGTGGGTGGGAAGACCAGGATAGCCGATCCAGCCTCATGCCACAGAACTGGTCACAGCCATCACTTCTACTTGAGGTCAGCCCAAGGTCACAATGCTAAGTGGATAACAACCCAAGCCTTTCAGGGCACTTAGCTGGCTCAGTTAGTAGAGCGTGCAGCTCTTAATCTCAGGATTGTGAGTTCAAGCCAGCCCCAGGTTGGGTATGGAGCCTATTTTTTAAAAAAATAAATAACCAAACCAAAACAAACCCAGGCCTTTCAGTTCCCATTGGTCTTTATTCAAAATCCAGATTCTCTTCTAAGCTTGTGGGCACAGATTGAAATGTTGATAGTAGTTTGTGTCTCCTTGTACCCAGGAAAGAATTTGTATGA